AGGCCAAGTGCAACATATGGACAAGACAGTTTTCTTAGTTATGCCACGTGGAATCTTATGTAACTGCAGTTTTACTCATATAGGCCAGAAAAAATTTCTAATTCCAAAAAAAAAATGTTCAGTGTTGCTGGCGGAAAATCACAGTTTCAGTTGTTATCCTACAAACCTAAGACTTTGGAAATAGGAAAAAAAAGTTTCATTAATCACAGGAGTTACATGTTTTTCAGTGTTTAAGCATTTCCACTAGTTAGAAGTCAATCCTGGGTATCCTATACAGCAGATAAAAGTAAAAACAGTTAACTTTCAAGCAAAAGCAGTTGTCATCATGTTGTTAGCCACTAAGCTTGCAGAACCTGACCAGAATTGGGATTCCTGGACCAGAACCTGAAAACACAAAATAAAAACTCAGCAGTTAACTTTCAGTTAAAAGGAATCATCTCCTTACTTCTGTTACCCACTTTGGCACAGAAGCTGAAAGAGCAAATTCAACATACAAGTTATTGATTGCACCTCCCCACACAAGGGAGAAACCACAACACAGGTATGAAAACCTGGCACAGTTACGTTATGCACTATAAAGAGTGCCTTCCACAATAGACCTTCCTCAGTAGGAAACAGAATCTTAGAATCTTGTCTTACATCAGTAATCAAATAGATTCAGAATTCAAATGGCAAATATGCCCCAAACAAATTGTGTTGACAAAATTCACAACAGCAAACCCTTTAGACTCAATATTTTGTTTTCTAATTTTTCTGATCTAGACTTTGCAAAAATTCAAGCTATCTCCAAGAATCCATTAAGGTTACTAGTATTTACCAGTTACAGCTCAAGGCTTAGTCTTTCTTTGCATCCAAGCATACATTTGCTAATTTAAACACCACTGCTCCATTGTTGGTTTACAACCCCTAAGGCAGAGATCAGGAAGTAGTCAAAGTCAAAGGAACCTACCTCTGAAATAACCATCATTGCTTTTAGAAATGCTAGCAAGATCTGCAAAACAGCTGAGGTTACAAAAAGAAAAAATCCTAGAGCTTAACTTTAGTTAATAAAGGAAGTAGAAAATCTTAGGAGGAGCCCAAAAGAATAAAAACTTCCAAATTTCAGAGAAGCCAGCCTAGGGCCTCAGATCTTTGGTCTGTTCACATGGTCCAAACTGCTATCTTCTGATTAAAACTGCTACACAATTTCCACAAAACCAAATCTCTTAGCAAGTGAACACAACAAAATTGTACACTTACACATAGAAGTTTTCACAAGGCCAAGCCAGTTTTTAACAACAAATCTGCATCTGAATAAAACTAGAAACAAAACCTACATTTGTGTTTAAGGTAGTCAGTGCCATGGGGAAGCCAACTTTCCCCATGGGGGTGACGATGGCTCTAATCCTACAACGTTGGGCGCAAAATCTGTTTTAGGGCACCCCAATTCTGTTAGAGGACAGGGGGAGAGGGACACCCCCGAAGCCCCAAAACCTGCCTGCTCTAAGTGGGTTCTGCCATCCACCGCAACAAGACAAAACATATAAAGCTTTAATGAAAAGTGACTTTAATACAGTGAATATACAATATGGAACACAAAGAATATAACTTCTAAATCAAACACCTGAAGTTACCCATCCCCTCGTGGGCAAAAGTCAACCCAAAAGGGATTGGCCCAAAGCAAGGCCTGAAAGCCTGCCACAAGACTAAAGCACCTTCTGGCCGGGACCCATGGAAAAGGGTCAGAAATGGCCAGACAAATCTGGGAGGAAAAGAGCAAAATCAAAATCAATATAAACACTGCCATAGTCACCTCCCTACAGGTATCTCACCCACATCTCCCTTAACCAGTCCAGGGTCAGGAAACAAGCACGGCTTCTTCCTCACATGCTTGCTACTCCATGTGGCTTCCTTAGGTCTCTGTCTTGTTCTCCATCCTGCTTCATTCTCTCCTTTTTCTCTGCTCAGCTCCACCCTCCTTCTGGGTGGGGCAGGGAACCTGGAACTTCCCTTTTTCCTAGGGACCACCCTGTTACAGTATGACTTTGATCCAGGCCAGAGAGGTGACCCACATGGCGCAGCGGACCTTTCCTGCTGCTCCCCTCAGCAGTGTGTTTCAGACAATCTTCCTATTCTGCTCCCCACTCTGTCTCTGGTGAATCCTCTCACTCCCTGCACCTCTGGCCTGTACCCCAGTTCTGTATGAATTAAAAAAAAAAAAGTCCCCTTTCTCCTCCCTCTTTCCATGGGATATCCTGGGTAAAGACAATCCTAAGGGTGTGCTCTTGTACTGCTCTGAATGCCAGCCCCACTCGTGTGTGGTATGGGCCACGTGGCTTAGCTGTTCTGGTTCTCAGTTTCTTCACCTGCAAAATGGAATAAGACTAGTTCCTCTTGCTGAGGGTTTTGTGAATTTTGAAAAAAGAACACCAGGTACATGTTGGGTCAGGCTGCCAGGAAACAAGGGCCTTTAGCCCTAGTCACACTTGAGGGTCACACATGACTTTCTGTCACTGCTGACTGAGTATGGTTGGTCTCTCTGCTTTTCCTCAGTGTGATGGAGGAAAAGGAAACCTACTGTGATTTTATTCCTGCCACATCCCAATTTTCTAGCAATATGTGCATTTTTATGGGCACTTACTATGTGCTAGAACTTTATTTTTTTTTTAAAGATTTCTTTATTTATGCATACAAGAACTGGGGTACAAGCCAGAAGTGGTGGTGGGGGGCTAATGAGAGAATGCACAAGAGACAGAGTGGGGAATGGAACAGGCAAATTGACTGAAATACACTGCTGAGAGGAGCAGTGGGTGAGACTGGAGAGGTTTGCTGCACGCCATGTGTGTCAGCTCCCTGGCCAGGAGTCCAACTGGTGCTGCAGTGGCTGTGGTTTGCTTTATAGTGTTGTACTTTAACCCACTGTGCCACCATTGAGCCACTGGGAAGGGCCCTGTGCTGGCCCTGTGCTTTAAACCTGAACTTGGTGAGGTATCTGTTCTGTTGTTTTCTCCCATTTGTCTGGGGTCTGTTTCCCAGGGCTAACCCAAGCCAGCTCCCAGATTTTCTGAATACTACCTGAAGCTGCCAGAGACCAAAATAGTTGCTGTGTATGACCTTCAATGTGAGATTGCAGGCAGGGCTTCTCAGCAGCACAGGAACCCTGCCCTGGGCAATGTGAGGCCCTGGCCAGAGGTGAAAGATTTTTGTCAGCATACCAGCTAATCAGGGACCATAAGGCTGGAATGAGATGTCAGTGACCTAAGTCCAAGGTACTGTTTCTAGAAAAAGCAAATCTTGTCTCTGAGGATATAACTAGAAAATGCAATTTTATTTATTT